TTATGAAGACAAACAACAATAAGTGTTGTTGAGGATGTGGGGGAAAGGGTACATGCATACATTGCTGGTGGGGCTGCAAATTGGTGCAGCCAATATGGAAAGCAGTTTGGAGATTCCTTGGAAATCTGGGAATGGAACCACCCTTTGACCCAGCTATCCCTCTCCTTGGACTATACCCAAAGGACTTAAAAACAGCATACTACGGGGACACAGCCACATCAATGTTTATAGCAGCACAATTCACAATAGCTAAACTGTGGAACCAACCTAGATGCCCTTCAGTGGATAAATGGCTAAAAAAAAATGTAGCATATATACACAATGGAATATTACTCAGCAATAAAAGAGAATAAAATGGCATTTGCAGGTAAATAGATGGCATTGGAGAAGATAATGCTAAGTGAAGTTAGCCAATCCCCCCCAAAAAAATGCCAAATGTTTTCTCTGATATAAGGAGGCTGACTCATATTGGGGTAGGGAGGGGGAACATGGGATCAATAGATGAATTCTAGATAGGGAAGAGCGAGGGAGGGAAAGGGAGGAAGCAGGGGATTAGCAAGGATGGTGGAATGTGATGGACATCATTATCCAAAGTACATGTATAAAGACACAAATTGGGTGTCCACCTACTTTATATACAAACAGAGATATGAAAAATTGTGGTAAATATGTGTAATAAGAATTATAATTAAAAAAACAAGTACATGTATAAAGACATGCATTGGCATGAACATACTTTATACAAAGATATGAAAAATTGTGCTCTATATGTGTAATAAGAATTGTAATACATTCTGCTGTTGTGTATTTAAAAAAATAAAATCAATAAAAAATAAACAAATACATTTTTAAAAAAGTCTGAAAAAGAAAACATGAACTAATGGGGTTATAAAACATAAAGCCAATTTCTATCCAGAAAAGAACGAAAACATGTAATTTTGCAATTAACCCTAAAAGTTTAATATAGTAGGACTTCTTTTTGACCCATTTACTTATTTTTGAAGAAATTTCTTAAACTAACTCAATACATTCCACTGTCTTATTCCTGGTTTTAGATTAAAAAGAAAAAAATATGCATCTCTCTAAATGTCCGGTAAAAATGATTATTTCCTTCCTTTAAAGATAAGTAATAATATTTTGGATACACGTTATGTTGACTTGAGATGGAAGCAATCTCTTACTTTGTTATAAAATCAGCACAGAAGACTGCAAGACTGGGAAAATGAATTCTGGAGAATAGCATGCTTTGTGGCCAAGGCAGAAAAGCAGATTTAATAAAGAACTAATCTTCAGAAAGCGAGTGTTGTGTTGTGATATGTTTGACATTCGCCTCACCTGTGGCCTTAATCTTATCCCCCACTCCATCCTGTGGCTTTTGTCATTATCTTAACCAAGTGCTTAGGGCTTGTTGCCATAGTACTGAAGTGTGTTTGCAGAACAGCCATCACTGATGGGGGCTTGGTCCCTCACCCAAAAGCTCAGACCGCACCAGAATGTAATGTCAGGATGAAGCCAGGGAAGAATTATGAGAAAGCACTGAGGCTTTCAGCACTATATTTAACATTATTGAAATATTTTCAAGATCATGAAGAGGCCTCTAAAATTATTCAAGGCTGAGCCTTTTATTTGGGGAGATAACAAAATGCACTTCCCATTTCCTGGATTTGACAACTTTGAAGGGATGGAAAAAAGAAATAGGAAACACAGATCCACCATTAAATCAACTCATTCTGCTTTTTCCCACAAATCAAAAAATGCTTATAGTGGGGTAGGGAGGGGGAGTATGGGAGGAAAAGATGAATTCTAGATAGGACAGAGGTGTGGGAGGGAAAGGGAGGGGGCAGGGGATTAGTGAAGATGGTGGAATGTGATGGACATCATTATCCAAAGTATATGTATGAAGACTCGAATTGGTGTGAGCATACTTTATAGACAAGCAGAGATATGAAAAATTGTGCTGTATATGTGTAATAAGAATTGTAATGCATTCTGCTGTCATTTATTTAAAAAATTTTAAAAACTAATAAAAAATGTTTATGGTGGAAGAAAATTCTCTAAAATATTTCAAAATTTCCCATGGATTATGATTGCTAAGGTGGCGACCTTTGCATTATCCTAGAGAGAAAGCATTTTTAAATGATAATTAATAAAAGTTAGCATGGTTAAATTTGTCTTCTTAAGAATTATTTTTGAAATTTGGAATAAAGGGATAAATATGGTCAATTTTTCATCAAAATACTTTTATTTGTTGTTTGAATAAATTATCCATTCTTATGTTGCAAACACTGGTTTCTCAAGGCTTGTAAGTAGTAAAATTCAATGATTTCGATTCACTTGAATATAAACAAATATAGGGGAGGGAATATGCTGTATTTTAGAATATAGTTTCACAACTTTAAAGTGTCTTTTAAGAGAATTTTGAAAATCTACTATAAAAATAAATAACATTTATTGCAATGAATGTAATAGTGACCACCAAAATATAACTGTTTAAGAAAAAAATAAACTTGTTCTGGCAAATGGAATTGTTCATCAAAATGAACAGCTCAGAAACATTTGCTTATCAATAACAACGCACTTCTATTTACATTTTGTAAAGCACTTTCTCACATATTTCTTATTGTAATCCTATGGGATGAGTTATCTTTATTTTAAAGATGAAGTGAATGAAACTTTGATAGAATAAATTGCTTATGGTTTCATTGGCAATAATTTCAGAGATACTGCTTAAATAAATTATTACACTCTAAGACCAGGGATACTTCATCTGTGTCAGCAAATTCCTCATCAATTGTACTAATACTGCTTCTGCTCAAAATATTAGTAGGATTTTTTTGCTTTTGGAATCAGCTTTGGAGCCTGTTTATGAATCACAGAGGAAAATCAGTTTCATTATTTTAAAGTTACAACTTAATTTTTGACCATTGAAAAAAGTATGCAAATGAATGACCACATCATCAGGTAATTCCCACAAGTCAAAGACACTTTGAAATTACGATTTGCCACCCTAGAGGATGTTCAAGTATTGTAACTTGGTCTTAGCAAAAAAAAAAAAAAAAAAAAAAAAAAAGTTCAGAATAATTCAAATGAATATATAGCCTCTTGTGATGGGTACATTTGAATTGCTTAAAACTCTTTTATCTATAAAATGAGAATAAACAAAACTCCTGCAATTTTCCTTGAATTCTTTATATTTTGGTATGACATATGACATACCGCTATTGTCTGGGCAAATTCTACAATTATATCACTTTCTTCTTCTCATCTCTCTAGGAACTGGAACTTTGAGAGAAAAGATTTGGCTGTGTCCAACTGATCAAGATATTTTAAATTTATAAACATTTAAAAACCAGATAGTTAAAAAAAAAGAGATAGAGAGTGGAGCAAGGCACTGTGGCACATGCCTGTAATCCCAGCAGCTCAAGAGGCTGAGGCAGGAGGATCTGGAGTTCAAAGCCATCCTCAGCAAATAAGTGAGACCCTAAGCAACTCAGCAAGACCCTGTCTCTAAATAAAATATTTTTTAAAAATAGGCCAGGGATGTGGGTCAGTGGTTAAGTGTCCCTGGATTCAATCCCTGGTACCTAAATAAATAAATAAATAAATAGTGGAAGAAATTAACTAAAAAGAACTAAACTCAAATAACAGAACTGAATTGCTAACTTCGGTATATGTATAAAAATTACAACTAATAAACAGCTTTAGTTACAGTGTTGATGTGATCTTAATCCTTTATCCCCGTTCCCCATCAGGGAACTGATTACATCCAATTATTTCTCCTTGATTCTTGTTCCATTATCATGGTCTGTGTTCCATCCAAGTCAGTTCAAGAGCTAAAATATTAAGTCAAAGAGAATTTGAAATCTTTTCACCTAAAATTATTAGAATGGTTAGCATAGGGAAATTCACCACCTGAATTTCTAGAGTTCTAAATTACATTTTGTTTCAATTTATAATTAGCAAAGTGAAGTGAGAGGAGCATATTATGTTCAATACTTCTGACCCATCCCATTCTGTGTTTGGCAAATTGACTAATCCCAGTGTATATCTAGGGGTGGTGTTTAAAATATCATTTTCTACCCCCTTCCCCACCCACCATGGTTCTAGTGTCATGGGTTTAAAATTAGCATGAGCACTTCCAGGTCCTTAAACTACTCGTTGAATGATGCAAAATCTAAACTTCTATGGATACTGGGTTGATGAACAAAATTTAACAAATCCCCCTTGTTTTTGTCAAGATGATAATTCCCTAGATTAATGCAACCCCAGAGTTCTTTACCAATAATTCTCAGTAATAGCACAGCTAACCACTATACCCTAATTAACAATACCTGAGATTTTTGCTATGTTTCATTCCATTACCTTTTAAAAGAAAATATTTGACAACTCTCTTTTCTGATAGTGATACAATTTTATATTAATTAATCATCTCTAACTGATAAGTGACTATAATGTTTTCCTTTGCAAGCGACTTGGAAACATTTGTCACTGTCTACCTTTTGCCATAATGGAGGAATTCAACAATTATTCTAAGTCTAGAGATATATGATGTTTCTAGTCTCTTCTGTGGTTTGATGAAAGCATGTAGATAAGTACCTGGCAGACTAATGGAAATGTTAAGAAAACAGAATTTTAGCCACAGGAAAGTTACTAAATATGGCTTTATAGATTTTAACAAAAATGTCACACTCACATACTTTATTATTCCTCTCTTAGGTGAAGATAATTGGAATATTGCTTACTTAGAGTCTTCCCTCTGAAAAGCGTTCACCTGGTGCTGTGAGCTACTGAGTGAGAATCTCTCTGGACTTGCTTCTCTCTTTTCTGCTCATTACTGGGGGTTAATGAAAACAGAGCTTCTTCTGACCTCTGACATATTACTATGACTGGCTGAGAAAATAGATAAGTCTACTGCTTTCTTTGATTGTCCCAGCTGTGAGGAATGGTAAAAGCAGGATTTGCAAGGTAAAGAAATAATGAATTAGAGTTACCTGCCAGCCTTTCCATCTTGTGCGAGCCTCCGGTAAAGGATTGCTAAGTGTTAAAGACAAGAATGTGTAGTTACTGAAGGTCAGTTGCTTGTTCTGACAAACTGCCTTTGTAGTGCTGATCCTCCTTCCCCTCATTCTAGAGACTTCTCTTTGGGCATCTTGGCTATCAATGGAAGAACGCTGTTGGTGGGTCCTGTTGAAGGAGTTGCATTTGGGGCTGTCTTCCTTTTGATTGTACTGAAAGTAAAAATATTTGAAGGAACCATGTAAGGAAGAATAAACTCCAAGCCATGACAGATGGGCCATTCTTTTTATTACCACAATTAAAAATCTAGCACAGTACATTTTCATCCTCTAATCACCTTTACTCATTTCCTAGGTAACACTCAGCATGCAGGGAGGGCGGAGATCCCTTCCTCACCCCTTAGTTCTCCTGTGGGCTCTTGGGATGGATCTAGGGACCTAATTAATATCAGAGCTGAATAATAGCTGAATAACATAATAATAATCAATGTCCGACTAATTTTACACACACATGGGGAGTTTCACCAAAGAGTGAAGGCCAAAAAAGTGACCAAAGCCTGATACTTTTATACTTTTTTAGACAAAGAATGATAAATTTGTGAAGGAATGACAAGAAAAAATGAGCATCTGGCCTAGGGTAATAAATTCTAGGATGTTACTAAGAGAAATATGGTGGGTGTAAAAGATAGTGAAAAATCAGGTCATTTGAAGTTTATTTATCTAGGTTCACTGCAGCCCCAATTACCAGTCTCTGTGATGAAGGCCGCTCTCCTTCCTTGGTATGTGAAGGACATTTCCAAAAAAAAAAAAAAAAAAGCTTTATAGTTTGCTGCATGTAGGGAAAACCAGGCCAAATGACTCTTTCTGAAGTAATAGTTCCTCCAGTGATTTCAGTTTGAAATAATCAATATACCAATTTGGCATTTTTGAGATGGAACGTCCTTAACTCCTTCAACTGTTCAAAACATCAGCCAAAGATCTAAAGGACATTTCCCTGAATAGGATGCTTGAGCTTCAATTGCAGATAATACATACAAAAAAGAAAAATCTATGAGGCTTTCTTTACTTTCTGTTTTTTTAATAAACTTACAACTGCTCTAAAAAATAAGGTATTAACTTTTTAAAAAAATATATATTACTGAAATTGGCATATTTATGAATATGCTAAATTGCATTCCCAAAATTTTATCTAATATGAATTATTTAATTTTTATCTGGATAGGCATGCTGCTCTTGAATTAACATTTCTAGGGGGAAATCACTGCAAAACCTTGTAGTCATTTAATTACAGTAGGTCTTCACTGGCAAATGCTATAGAAATGTCTGAATGGGTATAAAGGGGAGAGGAACAATTCTGATATTTCATCCACAGGCACGGTGGAATGAGATACTGAAGGTATTGAATGAAGAAGGTGGTAAGAACAAAGAAGCCAGACAAGTGGTAAAATTCCTCTAAGACTTTCAGAAATTCTGACCAAAAAAAAAAAAAAAAAACACTTAATGATTGGTGACCTGGAAAAGTTTGAAACATCAACATTAAGTATAAATAAATATTAATGGCAGGAATTTGGAAGACAATTACCTCTGGAGAGATGTTCAGATATTAGTTGAGAAAAAGATAATATAGTATTCATTGTTTTATTCTTCTGCCAAATGCTTCCTAAGTACCTATTGTTTAAGGAGTGGTTCACAAACTTTGCTGCACATTAGGATCATGTGGGGAGTTTTTAAAAATTCTGATGCCTGGGTCATATCCCATTTCAATTTGCTCAGAATGCCTGGGGATGGAGCCAGGCATCAGCATTGTTAAATATTGCCAGGTAATTCCAATGTACAGTCAAGGTCTAAGGCATTTCTCTGTTAAAAAAAAAAAAAGTAAATTGTGCATGGTCTCTTTTAAGGAGCCTGAAATTTGGTTGAGGTGATTAGCTGTATACATAAGCAAATATAATGTCCAATGCAAAACACACTTTAAATGCACCATCTCATTTTGAGTTTGGCTCCATGCAGTATTATTTCTCCAAGCGAGCAGCTTTCTGACTCCAGGGAGCTCTGAGGAGAATATATTTGTAGTGATGCAGTCATTTCTGGTAGACCTATTTCCAGAAAGAGGCAGACAAGCTGGAAAGGGCCCAAAGAAGGGTAACAAAATGACTAGAGGCCTGGGGGAAGGGACTTGTGGGGAAAGATGAAAAGAAGCAAGTGTGTAAACCTACATGCCATTAAGGTGGGGAGGGGTCGTGATAATAGTCCCTTCATACCTGAAGGGTGCGAACATCAAGGAAAGCAAGGAATTACTTTGGAAATACAAAGGGTGTTAACTAAGAGTCACAGGATGGTATTATGAAAGAGAAAATGAAGGCGCAATATCCGGTTATCCTTGCTGATCGAGGGAGCTAATGAGCTGCAGAGCTGGCTTCTGGGGGAGACATGGCAGCCACATGACTTGAGTTCCTATTAAACAAGTTGGGACAAACCCTTAGGAAATAGATTATTGTGGGCAATTGTGTATGGCCTGGACAATGGCAGGAGGTGGGGGCCATTGAATGGAGGAGAGGGAATAAGTCAAAGCTTTTACAGCCTACCTCCGAAATAATACTATAAAAAGTTCAAAGAAAACAGAAATTGAGGTGAACCTTTCTCTTTAAATATGATGGCAGACGAGGTGGATCCATTAGCTCTTATTAACGTATTCATTGGACATGTGGAATTACATTTTGGGGCCATATTTTGTGTACATTCTATGTGCTAGTTTATCTGCTTCTTCATTTAATACAAATATAGTCATTACATGCATGACAAACGTCTGCAAAGACATTTAGGCATAGAAATTTCTGTTATAGTTCTATAAACATTCCTAAATAGAGACATAGAGACATCTCATTCCATCCCTTGAAGCCAAAGAGACAGGAGTCTCTCTCTCTCTCTCTCTCTCTCTCTCTCTCTCTCTCTCTCTCTCTCCAGGGAATTGATCCCAGAGGCACTTCACAAAATTGCTGAAGATATTGCATATATCTCCAGCCTTTTTTTTCTGTTATTTTTTCTTTTCTTTTTTTCTTTAATTTAGTGACAGAGTTTCGCTAAATTGCTGAGGCTGGCTTTGAACTTGCAATCCTCCTACCTGAGCCTCCTGAGCCACTAGGTTTACAGGCATGCACCATGGTGCCAAGTTAACAGTCTCCTTTTCTATATGGTGTTCCCAAATGCTACAAAATTAATAATGGTATCAATAATAGCTAATATTTTGGAGCATTTTCTATGTGCCAGACATTGTGTTACAAACATTTCCATCCATTTTCTAATCTAAACTAGTGATCACCACAGTCCTACCAAGAAGCACTGAGATTTTGCATATGAAAGTAACAATTTTTAAAGCATTAGGTAATATGTTCAAAGCCACACAGCTAGTAATGCCGCAGGGGAAAATAAAAACCCAATCTCACTCTTCTCTGTTTTTATGGACTGCACAAAACTGGGAACCAAATAAAAATTGCCATCTTCCAAATCCTTCTCATAAACTTTATAGTATCAGAAGAATACCTACTTCATAGAGTTAGTGTGATAAGAAAATAAGATAATTTTAGAAGACATCAAGCAGTAAGCTCTGAATAAATGATAGTTTAAAAGAAAGAAAATACATTAGAATCTAAAACCCACAAATCAGCCATTTCCCACTAGTTCATTGTGATACCTTTTATATAAATCTGGCAACCATCTTTTCTCTACCTCCCACTCTCTGAAATTATACTGGTTTTATGCAGCCAGGAAAACTAATTGATAAACTCATTTTCAGTAGGCTTCCCTTTCCTCAGAGTCATGCCTTGAACTATAACAGAAGAGTGGTAAGAGCAGACAGAGCCTATATAAATGTCTCTGTAAGTATCTCATTCCATTCCTATAAAAGTTGAGCACACTCAATCTAAAAATCCAAAATTTGAAATGCACCAAAATCTGAAATTTTTAATACCCACACAATGCCACAAATGGGAAATTCCACACCATGAAACCTTTTTTCATGCACAAAATTGCTGAAGATATTGCATAAAATTACCTTCAAGCTATGGGTATAAGGCATATGTGAACCATGAATAAATTTCGTGTTTAGACTTGGGTCCTATTCCCAAGATATCTCATTACATATATTCTAATATTCAGAACTCAAAAAAAAAAAAAAAGAAATCCAAAATCTGAAGTCCTTCTAGTCCCAGGTGTCCAAGATCACCCAGTATCCCAGAGATCCTCAACCTGCACATAGTAGGCAATGAGACTGTAATGATCAAAAGGCAGCCCAGGGCAGACCATCCTGAGCTGATAGTCACATGCAGAGAGACACCATAAACTATAAAACCAATAATGAATAAATAACCAAACATCACAATAACTATTATTTAAAAAATGATGTTTCACATGACAGAAGGTAGAGATAACTGTCCTAGGGGACAAAATGGAGAACACACACCGAGTCTAGGAAAAAACTTTCAATGGAGTGAGCAGTAACAGTGAAGTTCTTTACAAAGGAGTTTAGAATGTTCTAGAAACACAAAAATCTGAAGCACCATGAATGAGGTGAAGAGCTAAGCCTCGGTCTTATTATGTAGGGAGATAGACTTGATTCTGAGCATGTTGGAGAACTTACAACATGAAAGACTTTTAAATAAGGCTGTGACATGCTCTGCTTAATATCATTAAAAGTTCACTCTAGCAGGTGACTAGATAATAAATGGTGTCCTGAGCTACAGGAGAGTGATGGTGGGGGACTGAGAAGAATGGAAGAATAGAATAGCACTTAGACTTTTGCAACAATTATATCCTATCCAGGTGAGTTTTGTTTTGTTTTGTTTTTAATAATTGTTGGCTTGTTGTCTGTGTGTTTTCTCCACAGTGAGAAGGTTGGAGATCAGACAAGAAGTGTTGATCTGAACCAGTGTGGTGGCAGTTGCTATGAGGAGCAGTATATAAACGCTGGTTATATTCTGGAGGGAGAACTAAGAGGCAGGTTAATGTCAAAACTCCCTAAAGCATCTAAGTGACATGCCAGGTAGACAGCTGGAGAGATAGCTCTGCATGGAGGGGCGGCTGAGCATCAGACACCAGTGTGGGCACTTGTGTATTAATTGTAAATATATTTTCTCATTTGCTGTATTGTTGATGCTGTGGATTCTGGGACTTCATCCCTTCCAGGGATGGCTAATTCCTAGAAATACCAAATGGACACCTGCAATCCCAGCTACTGAGGAGGCGAAGGCAGGACGATTACAAATTTGAGTTGAGCCTTGGCAATTTAGCAAGACCCTGCCTGAAAATTTTTTGAGAGGGAAAGAGGCTGGGATATAGCTCAGTGGTAGAGCACTCAGGGTTCAATCACAAGTACTGAAAAAAGAAAAAATCCCCTCTGCCCCAATCAATGCAGGGCCAGGTTGCAGATGAGGAGAGACCCATTCTAGCAGCCCAGAGTCTACCAAAAGTAGTTATACTACCCAGTCACATTCTTTTGCTCATTTATTCCCAGGAAAGTTGAAATAAGGCTCCAGACCAACCTTTTACCTCACCCTTCAGCCTCCAGACTGGCCGGTGCTTCCTTGGTGGTTGTCCCTGTGGTGGCATGCCTCTCCTCCAGAATTCGAATAACAAAGTACCTTCAATGGCAGTGGGCTCATAATCTGTTGAAAAACAGATGTTTTAAAGCAGGTTATCATCAAAACAATGGTGTTTGGAGCCTTTAAAATTAAAAAAAAAAAAAAAAAAGTCATCTAAAGGGAGAGTGGAGAGACTGTACCAGAGCCCAGAGGGCCCCTGAGAAACCAAAGGAATTAGCATCCCTGTTTCAGATTTCAGATCCTGTGGCAACCCAGTGGAAGAATTATTATGGAGCCTTCTCGGCACCCTACAAATCATGCCACATAAGCCACTGCCTACTCCACGTAAGTAAAAATCTGATCCTGTTTCAAAACGAGGAGTTTGCACTAAACCCTCAAGTACAGTTGCCGATCTTCCTAGGGAAACAGCATCGAGTTCAAAGTTGCCCACTGGAGTACATATTCAGGAAGCAGAAATACCTGAGATGCTGAGCCCCCATTCTAACATGCTGATCAGAAGGGGACTCGGAGGTAACATTGACACTTGCTGCAGTGTGTGCTATTGAGGTGTCGGGCAGCCAAGTGAGCAAGCAGCTGTGTTCCCAAAGCCATTCTCAGTCCTGTTCAGTTCCAGCCTGAAGTTCCCACAGGTCTGGAGTGAAAAGAGAAAAATATTCAATGTATCTTCTCTTTTAACCTGAGATATGAACTTTCTACCTTTTTGTTTTTTTGGTATTACGATGAACTTCCTTTTTAATATTTATTTTTTAGTTTTAGGTGGACACAATATCTTTATTTTGTATTTATGTGGTGCTGAGGATTGAACCCAGTACCTCGTGCATGCTAGGCGAGCACTCTACCACTGAGCCATAACCCCAGCCCCAAGATGGCCTTCCTTTTATGATAAGGTTGCAAATGTGGAGAGTTTGTTACTTTTCCAACTTGACCAAAATAAATGAATATGTAGGCATTTCTATAGAGACCTGTCAATTATTTTTTTAATCACTTATTATTACGAACCTGGAATTTATGAAGTTCAGAACTGCTAATCAAATAAATATTAAATATCCAGATATTTGAAAAAAATTGCATGATTAGTAATCATCCAGATTTCATGCAATTTCTCTATTGCATCTGCCTGGCTGGAGTCACTTGGATGTACCTTGAGTGAGATTCTCCACCTGTGATTTCCAAGTTTCCATTTGGACAGGTTGGCCTTGAGTGAGACAACCCTGGTCCCAATGATGGAGAGAATGCCTAGTTACCCTGAGCAAAAAGTCTACATGTTCTCAGATGTTGAAGAGTAAGGACAAAATTCATTCGTGACTGATGGATAAATTGTAAGGTGGCACCAGGATCTAATTGTTAAAAAGCAGCACTTCGGGCATGGGGCTGTATTCACTTTGAAACCAAACCAAGCTGGTGAAGATGTGGCCAGGACTTATTCATTTATGTAGTTATTTATTTATCTAAACAACAAACAAAATGGCTTAACACTTCATCAAGTTCACTCAGTGCTTCTACTTAGGAACAGCTTTTATAAGCAGGTGTAGGATGAACTTGTGACTTTTGTTTGTTTCTTTGCTAATTCTGGGAGTAATCACAGCATCAAATTTCCCGGCATGGGCATGCTCTTCAATAAGTAGGTCAGACTCAAAATGTTTGGATATTGTAATTAAGGAGAAGGAGCAGGGCCCGCGATGAGAGGAGCAGGAGGAGGGAGACAGAGTCAAAGTGATTAATTATGCAATAATCAGGCCATTCCTTCCTTTTCCTATTGGGGTTAAGAGATTACAATATTAATCTAAAATTAAGCATCTGATCAGATGAAAACCAATGAAAAACAAAATTTCTCCTATTTTCTATGGAGGAAATGAGACAAAGCTTGAGAAGCTCAGCATTCCCTATTGTCACTCCCACATTCACCTACAGTGGTCACACTTGGACCGAGACTATCACAGTGAAAGGGAAGACATTTGTCACAGGGATCTAGACCTCTGACTGCCTTAATTTGTCCAACAACCAGAATGGAGACTTCTGGCAGCACCAAGGGAGGCTCTGCACATTTCGGGTTTAAAAAAAAAGAAAAGTGACCTCCCTATTTGTCCTTGTTGGGATTTCATTCAACTGTAATTTAAATTTTCTGTCATCAGACCAAAGAAAGAAAATCCACATATTTTATTTATATAACTATAAGCACACTCGTGTGTACAGGAATGATGTTTACATAGACCTCTGTGTATGTGTGTGCGTGTGTATGTTTCTATAAAGGGACAAAGAAAAACCTAATGTCATTAGAAATTCAGAGAAGGAATCATTCTCTGCAGATACAAGAAATAAAGGCTCCAATAGAAAATTTGCTATATTTTCATATTGAATTATTTTGAATTTATGTACTAAAATGAATATAAAAATTGTTTTATATGGAATAGTCCCTGAGCCTGAGGACAGCAGTTCCTAAGACTCTCAGTTCCTAAGACAACTTGCTTGCCTACCATAAGATTTACACAAGAAATATTTAATTTTTCATGCTATTTTTTTAAAAACCAGATTGTTTGATCTCATCATGTAGTTTAAATGAAATTATGCAGGAAGAAGAAACTTAAGACATTTGGTTTAGTCCAAAAAGAAATCTCAATCCCAATCAAGGAGGAGTCACCTCGCTTCTTTTCCATCTTCCTCTCCTAGTGCTGATGCATCTCTTAGATAAGTATCAAGCGCCACACTGGTGAGACCCAGAAAGAAGTCACAGTTGGCTGGTTTGCATCACTTCCCAGGGTTGAAATGGAGCTCTGATGATGGAATGTGGACCTGCTAAAGAAAAAAAAAAAAAAAAAGACAAGAAAAGGAAGCCATCCACCTCCCGATTAAAGTGAAAGAGCCAGGGAAGGACAGATTTGAATTATGAAAGAGGTCAGTAGTCAGTATCAGTTGGCATCCCCCTAGTTAGAAGCCCCAGCAAATGAGAGAACAAACAAACCAGAACTGTTATCTCTTCTGGCAAACCACTGGCCCTGGGAGCCTGTAGGATTTATGATGACCAATTAAGGGTGTGGCAGCCTGAGAGAACAGAGGACATCCTTGCTGTGGAGACAAAGCGAACCATTTTGAAAACACTCCATTTTTAGAGCTCTTATTTTACCGCAGCAAAAACAGCACCTATGTGCCTCTAAGCATGTGCCTATATATCTAAAGCCTTGGATTCTCTCCTCTCAAATTAAAAATAAGAAGCAATAAGACAGGATTGGGGACTTATGAGGTGATAAAGCAAGAACTAACTTAAGATGACACTTGGAAAAAACATTGCAAAAATGTAGTTCCCAAAGAGATAAATGTGACTATTCTTGCTTAAGGGATTAAAATAAGTTTTAAAGAAGTTGTTGAGAAATCCAAAAAGACCTTAGAAGAATTGTCAGATGTTAAGTTTCAATAATAAATTGTTCAGAGAATGTTCCTGCTGTATAAAATCTTGAGTAGTTAGATTCATCCCACTCTCTCCTTTACTTAAATCTGCCTACCCTGATGTAAACAAGCTAGATCAGATAATCTGTGAATTGTTCTCGAGTTCTAAAGGTTTACCCTGTTCTTGCATCACTAAGCACGGGGACTGCCAACATCCCTTGCTCAGCATGCATGATTTCTGTCCCACAGGTGGTTCCAAGTAGTTCTGCTACTGATGTGTCTCATGGGCTGGTCAGTCAAAGGCCTCTGTTTGGGGAATATCCACAACTCACACTGGGTGCTGAAAGCAATGAAGAGATTCTTTATTTCCTGCAAAACTGGAAACCTACAGCAAAAGGGTCCGCCTCTTTAGCAGAAAGTTTGGCAAAGTGACAAAGAAAAATTTCCAAAACCAAGCACATGTAGAGAACAAACCTCATAACATTTAATAATAGCAGCACTCACAAGAACACTCAAGAATACTCCAGACACCACACAAAGCACACAGCAGGCCTCCCCTGACTCCATCCTCAGAACTGCCCTAAGGAAACTAGAGCTTCACTTGTGGCCAGCAAACAGAGGTATTTGAGCTCAACACATCTGGGTTCAAATCCTAGTTGGCCAATCCCAAATTGCACAACCTCAGAGGACTTACTTTATTTCTTAGATTGCACTCATTGAACTCACAAATGAGTTCTAGCCCTTCCATAAGTTATAAGCATGTACTCTTCCTCCCAAATCCAACATAAATATGTCCACTTTTCTCCATCCTCACATCCACAATCCAAGACTAAAGAGCAGATCCAGGTTTCCTGGGGTCTGAGGCTTACACAATTTGAGAGGCCACTAGGCTATGGATATAAAAACAGTATGTATTTAGAGTAAGAAGAGAAATCACACACTTAAAAAAAATTAAACCTTAAAATTACTACAAACTTTATAAACGCCCCCCCCTCTGCCCGCCCCCCCCCCCCAAAGCATACTCTTCTTGTTCATTGACAGGTTCACACATCTCCCATGTTTTGGCTGTGTACCGTTTAATCACCTTTTCACATGTCAACAAGTTTACAAAATAGTTTCGAGTAAGAACAGGACATAATTTTCCTCCAGCAATTTAAGGATAGTTACTGGTAGCATGAAATGTTTATTTCAGGTTTATAACACATTATTGTAGTATTATGTAAGTGTTTGAGATTTTTGCCAACTTTGTAAAGACAACTTTCTAGTTTCTTTTGTAGACCAACTGTAAGATTTCGGAACATTTTATGTTTTTTTATGTTATATCTAATCTTAAATATTCTTTGAATCCATAAAACTCACTAGACAAGTTATGGTTGATATTCTCATGGAGGATTGTATATTATAAGTTTTATGTTATTTTTATTCCATCAAATAGCAAGAAATGTAAATCTTTTTTTTTATATTTTTAATTTTTTATTGTGGGTTGTTCAAAACATTACAAATTTCTTGACATATCATATTCCACACTTTGATTCAAGTGGGTTATGAACTCCCACCTTCACCCCATACACAGATTGCAGAATCACATCAGTTACACATCCATTGATTTACATATTGCCATACTAGTGTCTGTTGTGCTCCGCTGCCTTTCCCATCCTCCACCCTCCCCCCTCCCCACCTCTCCCCTCCCCTCCCCTCCTCTCTCTCTACCCCCTCCACTGTATAACCCTGAGGGTCTCCTTCCATTACCATGCAATTTCCCTTCTCTCTCCCTTTCCCTCCCACCTCTCATCCCTGTTAAATGTTAATCTTCTTCTCCTGCTCTTCGTCCCTACTCTGATCTTAGTTACTCTCCTTATATCAAAGAAGACATTTGGCATTTGTTTTTCAGGGATTGGCTAGCTTCACTTAGCATAATCTGCTCTAATGCCATCCATTTCCCTGTAAATTCTATGATTTTGTCATTTTTTAATGCAGAGTAATACTCCATTGTGTATAAATGCCACATTTTTTTTATCCATTCGTCTATTGAAGGGCATCTAGGTTGTTTCCACAGTCTTGCTATTGTGAACTGTGCTGCTATGAACATCGATGTAGCAGTGTCCCTGTAGCATGCTCTTTTTAGGTCTTTAGGGAATAGACCAAGAAGGGGAATAGCTGGGTCAAATGGTGGCTCCATTCCCAGCTTTCCAAGAAATCTCCATACTGCTTTCCAAATTGGCTGCACCAATCTGCAGTCCCACCAGCAATGAACAAGTGTACCCTTTTCCCCACATCCTCGCCAGCACTTGTTGTTGTTTGACTTCCTAATGGCTGCCAATCTTACTGGAGTGAGATGGTATCTTAGGGTGGTTTTGATTTGCATTTCTCTGACAGCTAGAGATGTTGAGCATTTTTTCATGTACTTGTTGATTGACTGTATGTCCTCCTCTGAGAAGTGTCTGTTCAGGTCCTTGGCCCATTTGTTGATTGGGTTGTTTGTTCTCTTATTGTCTAATTTTTTGAGTTCTTTGTATACTCTGGATATTAGGGCTCTATCTGAAGTGTGAGGAGTAAAGATTTGTTCCCAGGGTGTAGGCTCCCTATTTACCTCTCTTATTGTTTCTTTTGCTGAGAAAAAACTTTTTAGTTTGAGTAAGTCCCATTTGTTGATTCTAGTTATTAACTTTTGTGCTATGGGTGTCCTATTGAGGAATTTGGAGCCCGACCCCACCGACTGTAGATCGTAGCCAACTTTTTCTTCTATCAGACGGCGCGTCTCTGATTTGATATCAAGCTCCTTGATCCATTTTGAATTCACTTTTGTGCATGGCGAGAGAAAGGGATTCAGTTTCATTTTGTTGCATATGGATTTCCAGTTTTCCCAGCACCATTTGTTGAAGATGCTATCCTTCCTCCATTGCATGCTTTTAGCCCCTTTATCAAATATAAGATAGTTGTAGTTTTGTGGATTGGTTTCTGTGTCCTCTATTCTGTACCATTGGTCCACCCGCCTGTTTTGGTACCAGTACCACGCTGTTTTTGTTACTATTGCTCTGTAGTATAGTTTGAAGTCTGGTATCGCTATACCGCCTGATTCACACTTCCTGCTTAGCATTGTTTTTGCTATTCTGGGTCTTTTATTTTTCCATATGAATTTCATGATTGCTTTCTCTATTTCTACAAGAAATGCCGTTGGGATTTTGATTGGCATTGCATTAAACCTATAGAGAACTTTTGGTAATATCGCCATTTTGATGATGTTAGTTCTGCCTATCCATGAACAGGGTATATTTTTCCATCTTCTAAGATCTTCTTCTATTTCTCTCTTTAGGGTTCTGTAGTTTTCATTGTATAAGTCTTTCACCTCTTTTGTTAGGTTGATTCCCAAGTATTTTATTTTTTTTGAAGATATTTTGAATGGAGTGGTTGTCCTCACTTCCATTTCAGAGGATTTGTCGCTGATATACAGGAATGCCTTTGATTTATGCGTGTTGATTTTATATCCTGCCACTTTGCTGAATTCATTTATTAGCTCTAATAGTTTCTTTGTAGAGCCTTTTGGGTCTGCTAGGTATAGAATCATATCATCTGCAAATAGTGATAATTTAATTTCTTCTTTTCCTATTTTTATGCCTTTAATCTCTTTCGTCTGTCTAATTGCTCTGGCCAGTGTTTCGAGAACTATGTTGAACAGAAGTGGAGAGAGAGGGCATCCCTGTCTTGTTCCAGATTTTAGAGGGAATGCCTTCAGTTTTTCTCCATTCAGAATGATGCTAGCCTGAGGCTTAGCATAGATTGCTTTTACAATATTGAGGTATGTTCCTGTTATCCCTAGTTTTTCTAGAGTTTTGAACATAAAGGGATGCTGTACTTTGTCGAATGCTTTTTCCGCATCTATCAAGATGATCATATGGTTCTTATTTTTAAGTCTATTGATGTGGTGAATAACATTTATTGATTTCCGTATATTGAACCAGCCTTGCATCCCAGGGATGAATCCTGCTTGATCATGGTGTACAATTTTTTTGATATGTTTTTGTATCCGATTCGCCAGAATTTTATTGAGGATTTTTGCATCTAGGTTCATTAGAGATATTGGTCTGTAGTTTTCTTTCTTTGAAGTGTCTTTGTCTGGTTTAGGTATCAGGGTGATGTTGGCCTCATAGAATGAATTTGGAAGTTCTCCCTCCTTTTCTATTTCCTGAAGTAGCTTGAAAAGTATTGGTATTAGTTCTTCTTTAAAGGTTTTGTAAAATTCTGCTGTATACCCATCCGGTCCTGGGCTTTTCTTAGTTGGTAGTCTTTTTATGGTTTCTTCTATTTCCTCAATTGATATTGGTCTGTTTAGGTTTTCTATATCCTCCTGACTCAATCTGGGCAGATCATATGACTTAAGAAATTTATCTATGCCTT